CAATATCGCTACGTCGCTGCACCCGTGCATATTGTGTTGTGTTACACCATCACCGGCAAATGAAATAATGAATTCACGGCTTGACACAAAGGCAGATGAAGGCATATTTGAACATTCAAAGAGGGAGCGAGGGGAGAAAGAGGGAGAGAACATTCCCAAAATTAATTTTCATCTCCAGGGTTCATGCATATTTAATAGAGAGCGCTTGAATATCATAGGGTAATACTAGCCCGGCGTGCATACAGAGGCCGGGCTGCGGAGAGAAAATAAACGACCGTGATCGTTGTCATGAGCAATAACTCTCTGTAGAGCTGGGAAACAAAATAGCCAGAAATGCTTTGATGAAGGAGAGGAGGAGAGGAGGAGGAGGGAGAGAGGGAAGAGCGGGAGAGAGGGAGAGAGACATAGCGCAGCAAGGGGAAGCGAGCGAGACAGAAAGAAGCAGTAGCAGAGGTTAAACACTGGTGGAGTGATGGTCCCTTTGGATGCAGCTGCTGTGGCTGCCGCCGTCTTTGTTTTGCAAAGGGGGATCGGAGTATGGGATATGGGGGGTAGGGGTGTTGGAGGGGGAGGCGGGAGGCGGGTGATGACTGAGTGACAGTAGTTGACAAGCCCTGTGGACGGCATCCCAGGAGGCTCTGTGTTGCCCCCCTCCTCCTTCAATGAGTAAACACATCACAGAATCAGCACATGCAAGCATGTCTAGTGTACACACACACACACACACGAATCCTTGAACATGTTCAAGAGAAACAGTTTCAGTTGTCAGTGAGGGACGGAGTGAATGCAGAGCCTTTTTTAAGCTCACATTAGGCATTAAAGCCTCTACCATTACCGAACATAACACGCGCTGGTGTTGCTGATAAGCTTGCAGTCTGGCGTCTGTTTTCCACCTGTGTGCTGGAGGAAGCGCGGCGTGCACTTTAAGCACACATACCAGCGCTGCCTATTTACCTATTAAAAGCCTCTGTGCTTATCCCGTATTCATCCCACGTGTGACAAAAAATGAGGCATGAAACAGCGTTGTCATGCTGAACAGAATTTTAATTACGGACCCTCCCCTCCCCTCCAAGCGCGTGCACTCCAAATTGGTCTGAAATAACGGCGAAGGGGGGGAGAGGAGAATGAAAGGAGAGGAGGCCTTTCTGAGGGGCAGACGGTGCCATGAACACGGTGCTATCAGAGCGTGCTGGAAAAAGTCAATATCAGAGTGCAATATTAACACCATGTGGAACAGTTCAGCCACCTGAATGTAATGAGAAAACAGAAAAATATGTCCTTTTCTTACAGGGCAGAGGTTTGTCTCATTCTACTGGAGAATTAAAAGCCTGGAGAAGGATGAAAAAGATACTGAATGTTACATTTCCGTGCTAAATAAGAGGAAAGTAAGGGCGCTGTTTCTTTGAGAAGTCCCTGGTTTCCTCAGCTTACAGCTCAGGATTCAAGTTGCTGAGATGAAACTTAAAGACTGACGTTGATCTGAATAAACTTGCTTGATTAGGGCAGCTCTGCCTCCCACCCCCCCACCACCACCACCTTCATCCCTCCCTTTCCTCCCTCTGATCCCCTACCCCCATGCTGCCACGGCGAGCTCTCTGACAGCTCAGGGAGCCCCACTAACTCATCTCAGCCCCCGGAGCTCAGACACCCTGCTTGTTTTATTTCCCATCCTCTAAATTGAGTCGTAAAGACTTGTAAAAATAACGACGCGAGCGGACGGGGGCCGTGTTCCGCTCCCCCCCCCCCTTCTTCTTTTTGCTCCCCTGCCACCCACTCCCTCTCTCCTTCCCATGAGTCCCAGGTGGGCTTTTTGTCGATCCATTAAAAAGCCGGGACACGTTAACAAGAGCGGGGGGCATATTTACAGAATGCTGACCTCCGGCTCATCTGAATTCTGCGGTTTGATGCAGGTGTGTGCTAAACTTTTTAATTTATTCCCCCCCAATCCGTCACGGGGAGGAGGCGGAGGCAGATCTGAGACATGCAGACAGATGTGTGGGATCTGTTTATACCCCATCCTCCTGGGCTGCAGACTGAACATATGGATACCGTAACATGAACCTAGACCTCCACAAACAGTAGCGCGGAGCACAGGGTTAATCTTTAGGCCCGGCGTGAGAACACACACACTGTAAATCCCACTTAAGGCAAGAGCAAATCAATCTTTCATATTCTCCATCTCACACTGTTTACTCATTAACCATTTCAGCATTGATTGTTATTCCTGTGGCAGTTAACCCATGTTTAACAAAAGCAGTAAAATGAAAGGGGGGGGGGTGCTAAATTCAAGTCAGTAGCAATGCAATTCATTAGGTGCAATTTGGTGTGTGTGTACCTCATAAATCATACTCTGGTGAGTGGTAGCACTGCACCACTGTACGGTATGGGGTGGCATAGGCAGAAAAAAATGTAACCCAATCTGCAAAATCCTTTCTCCCTGATGCATGCTATTGCTCTCAGCAACCGGGTACAATAGAGCCACAGGGAAGGAGGACGTAAGTTATACAACCCTGTTAACATGCATAAAAAATGTATGCATTTAAAAATGTATAAGTCCTGCAGCATTTAATCGCGCCCCTTATTGAAGATTTTACACACAGCTATGATTTCTTCACTTGGAGGGGATACAGTCCGGAGAAAAACTTGAACGTCCATTAAACTTATTCATCGGGGGAGAAGAATTCCACCAGAGCGGTTTGACAAGTTTGACGGAGAGTAAGGTAGACTGCCTCTGCTCAAATGGTCCTCTTGTGGACTGATGGTGCGTGCTTTCTTTTAAGACTGATGTCCAGGATCCAACTCCTCTCCTGAGATTAAGCCACTACTTTCTCGTGTGCATGTGTGCATGTGTGTGTGTGTGTGTGTGTGTGGGTGTGTGTGTGTGGGTGTGTGTGTGTGTACACGCGTGTCCTTGTACATGCGTACATGCTTGCCCCCAGTCAGGTATAGTTCACACTTTGATCTCCTTCAGGACTCGGCCATGTGTGAAGGAGGGACACACTCAGTCTGCTGCTGGTAAAAGCTTTACGTGCTACCGGTGTCACTATGGATCTCTTGTCACTCATATGCACTGAGCAAAATGGACAACTGACAGTCGTTTCCATGGAGAGGTTTGGGGTGACGGACTAAAGGACTCTCTGGCAGCCATATTGGAGGTCAGCTCCTGGTAGCAGCAGCTGTGATTGTCTGTGTGTCTGAATGTACAGCTCTGTACAGACTGTTAAATTCCAACAGAAATTAAAATTCATTTTTGCTTGGAAATCAGTATTTATGTTTGTTTTGACTTGTTTACTTATTTGGTCAAAATTGTTCTTCCCAAAAAGATTAAATTAAAGTGTTGTTTTTCTGCCATGATAGCGCCCCCTACATTTTGGTTCCAACTGACAATGTTGTTATTGGTAACTAGATTTTTGGATCGGATTTCAGCATTCTGTACATTTCTCTGTGACTCTCTATTTCTGTGTATTGAAATTCCAATCAGTGAGTAAAGTCAGGAATACTGAGGTCACTCACTCACAAGTCAGTCTGTAAATGCTTTGCCCAATGGAGACTGTGGGCTTTCTCCTAGCTCTTGTTGCTAAAACTGTGTGGCAACAATCTTAGTTTTAAAAAAAAGTCTTTAGGCCTGTGCCTGGAAACACTGTTCCCATATAACTTTACTCGTGACATCCATTTTCAATATTTTAAAAGGACCAGTGTGTAGGATTTAGTGGCATCTAGCGGACTCAACTCACTCAACCAAGCGTGAAGGAGAAACTACAGTGGGCGTGAAACTCGCAAAAAATGTTAAAAGCCCTATCTAGAGCCAAATATTTGGTACTGTACAAACATGGCATTTCAGTATGGCAGACTCTGTAGAAGAGGACCCTCTGTGGATAAAAACAGCTCATTCTAAGGTAACAACAATTCTTATTCTCAGGTGATTATACACTAATGAAAACATACCTATAAATATAATATTGCATGTCTACCTATAGATGCTCCTTAATGTTACACACTGGACCTTTAAAAAGCCCTCTCCGTGTTACAATGGCCACATCTCCAGTTGATCTCACCACAGTACTACCAACTACTTTGCGTTCAGAAATCCTTGGAGGATTGGTAGGCACTGAGATCTGGACTACTTGTTCCTGTGAATTTTGACATGTCCCCATGAAAGAGAGACAACTAGTGGTAGCTGTGTATTATGTGGGAAGAACACAATACTTGATGTGCAGGAGCTGCCGCTAACTCAGCAGGTGTTAATATGACATGAGTTTATTGGGACTCTAATGTTAGCAAGCTGCGTTACAAGGAGTACAAACAAATGTTGAATGTATGGCTTAATTCGCCAACGGTATATAAGCAACACTGTGTGTTCATGTTGAAAAAGGGGGGGGCAGGACACAGGAGACTCAGTCTGAAGCTTAGATGCTTTTTCCACAAATATGTAAAATAGTTTTAATCCTAATCTGAAAAAAAATCTGTTTAAATTAAAAAATGTTTACACCGTCAGGGAAATTGAACCAACAATTATGCTCCTGCTACACCTTTTGCCTTTAATTTATGATTATGTAAGTGTCATTGTCTTCTCAAACCGTTAGTGGCAGGTAACAAGTCGAGTCGTTTGCTTTTCACATTTGCCTGCTGGCTAGTAAACTCAGCAGCAAACCAAAAAAGCCACTGTTTATTTAAGCTAAGTGAGCCGACCCTTCCAGCTACACATTGTAGTGCACTGAAGTGGTAATCGGGATCAAAGAGACAGCGGCTAAAGACAACACAGTTTACCTGCAGTATGTTTGAAGACAAGCAACCTTATCAGACTCCTGACTGCGGTATCCTACAGCAACATCACAAAAATCCTGTTCAGGTATTCAATTATGCACAAAACTCTCCTCTGGACCTCCACGATGGCGGCTGACAGATTGGTTAAGCAGATTTGTGGGACACCTACAAAGCCCTGGAATACAGAGAACGAAGCAGAAAGAAAATACAGGAGGAAAGAAAAACTGTCAACTCACCAGCCATTCATTGGTCCCATAGAGACAGACAGGTCTTATAGTTTGCGTTAGTGAGTGAATAGGCTGTGCTGCTCTGTCTTTTTTCTTCCCAGTGAAGAAAGGGGCACACATTCGCTATCTGGAAGGAGAAAATAGAGTATCATCCTGAACTCGAGGAACACGATTCAAAAGAGCTTGTAATATTTTCGGCACTTCAAAATCTTTGATTTAATCTAGAAGTAACTCTTTTTATCCTGCGTTTCCATGGAAACGAGTGAAGTTGGGGCAGGGGAGAATAGGCAGGGGGCCCCTGATAAGGGGAGGAAGAGAGGAGTGGAAGGGGAGGACTGATGAGGGAGGGGTAGTTTCATTGAGGAACTGAGGAGAGGGGATGAAGGGATGAGGATTAGCTGTCACGATGAAGAAAAGGTGTCTGTCCCTCGCTTTCTCTCCCTCGTTCTCTCTCTCTCTCTCGCTCTGGCTCTCCGACTCCCTCCCATCACCTCCATGTCCTTGACAAGCCTGCTCACAACGGTATTTATCGGCCTCCATTCCATTAATTACCATCCAATTAGCAACTCCCACAGTGGAACTGCTGCAATCCTGCACAGTGTCAAGTCAGTTCACTTAGCGAGGTCTGACACCTTCATGTTCGCCGCTCCCTTCAAACTCGCAGTGATAGAGCGGAGAAAGTTTTCACAAAGAATCCCTCAGCGTGCTAATGCGTCCATTAAAACTGCATTCATCCCCTCACTTGTACATTAGACGTGGTTTCAGAAGATTTGTCACTAAATAGCTATTTTAGCTAATTGGCAAGGCAGCTTAGCCTAGTGTATTTGATGTTTCTTGCTGGACGTCTTTCATGTCAGCGATACAGGCTTATTAATGCGCCCCTTTACGCTCCTCACGGACCTCCTTCATTCAAAAGCCTACAAGGGAAGAGATGAAAAAAAAAAGTTTAGGATGACTTTTTTGGGGGGGGAGGGGTTGACAGACCCAGAGAGAGCCGGGCTAATTGGTTTGCTTTGAGACTGGCCCACTGGGCTGTGGGCAAGGACGAGCATGTGGCATCGCTGACTTGTTAGCATGGAATTAGCCTCTGAGAGTGAATTAGACCAACCGCCTCCAGCCACTAGCCATCACATGAGTGTGTTACACTCCGAGAGAGCGCTCCTCTTTGACAAGTGCAAAACAAACACACTCGCACAAATGCTGACGCACACGCATGCACCGCGCACGTTAATGCAGCACATACAGCACTGCACACGCAAACTCATTAAGCTCATAGCCAGAGACTAAATACCCCAAGAGCTTTTTAGCTGTGTGCTTTGCATTCATAACAAATCACATTCTAGTTTCTCATAACAAGCTCCCGCACTCCTGAATCTTAACCCCCGTTAAAAAAAATACCCGCCGTCGTGGGTAACAAGCATATTTGCTGGATGAATGCAGACAGTAAGCATGTTAATGTGTGTACAGTCGGGTCCATTTATGTGAGTGAGTGTGTTTGTGTGTGTGTGTGTGTGTATGCTGGGCTGAGTCTGCAGCACATCATCCCACACACCAAGCACAGTGCCTGGGGTTGTTGATGAGTTCTTTAGCCATGCTGCGTGGACCCCCTCCCGTCCTCGGACTGAGAGTATGCTGACAGAGCAGCTGCTGAGATGGACTCACACACAGAGACACACACACACACACACACACACACACACACACACACACAGTGAAGTCTGCTGTTCTCCTCTTTGATCAGGCAGGCGTACGGTATGTGAGTTCAGGAAAGATAAGACGTTGATGTTTAAAGGTGATTAGGAGCGTGTGTACCCATGTGGGCGTGTGAGAGGGAGCAGTCTGCCGGCTTTCATTCAGATACAGGTCATTGCCGGTGAGTGTGTCAGTTGTATTACACTTCAAATAAAAGTATTAAGCTGATTACCTTGACCGTATAACATAATAAAGAACACTTTCCTTAAGGTTCTTTCTTTAATAGCTGATGTGTGAAATAGTCTGGGAGTCAAATTAATTGTATTTATAGCTAAATAGAATATATTTGCCATCCATATACTGAAGCCTGCAGAACGTGGCTCATAACCTAATTGGTTGCAAGTTTGAATCCCAGAACTGACTGGGAAGCTGGGATGTCTTTGAGCAAGGAATGTATGAGGGAGTTAATTTTTTTTACACCTTGGTACACATGCACAGATCTCTCTTTTAACAGAATTCATCCCCACATTTTTAGTTTTAAGGTGACCCCAGGCATTGTTGGATGGACTTCAGATTTTCTGCTGGACTGATGCCAGTATGTGAGGGTTGTAATGTAACTATGTCTGACATGTCATCCTCCTCCACTGGAATGCAGCAGGGTTGTGTGCTGGCTGCCACCTCCTTTATACACACTGTACACAGACGGCTGCAGAAGTTCCTGCTGGTGGCACTAGAGGAAAAGTCAAAGGATCAATGCTAATTCAACTCTAGGGCACCATATGTACCAAATTTCACAGCAAATTCATACAATAGCTGTCAGATGAGGTGCTAGAGAAAAGGTCAAGAGTCAAAAGGATTTATCCTTTGGGGGATCATGTAGTCTAAACAAAATGTTAACGGCAATCACTTCAATAGTTAACGATATTTCAGTCTGGACTATAGTGATGGATTGACAGAGACGTAGAGCCATGTCACTAGCATGACTAATAATGTAATTTAAAGCTTGAATTTTTGTCAAATTTTAATCAAATTTGTTAGAACACTGCAGTTCTGTTCAAAGTCAACAACAAGAGTGCAGCTTCTGATTGTCAACGTAATGGTTTTCGTGTTAGATGTATCACAATGTGTCTGGGACAGGCACATCATGGCAACAGTAGTCTGCACTAGGCTTAAGCTGCAGTGCAGCATGTAACTACTGTGAAGTGTGTGCCCTGGATTGGATAACTGATGGTTTAAAAGCAATCTGACCACACCTGAGCACAGCAAACGTCTTTAGATAGTAGTGTTGGTGTTTCAGTCCGTTTAAACCGCAGTGCAATTCAGCAGATACGGTACAAAAGATAAAACAGCCATTACTGAGCACATTAGCATGTACACCTAAATGTACTGCAGCCTGGAGTGCTGACACGAGCTTGAATATTGCGCATAATTTGCAGCCGGCTTGAGTCAGTTCAATCCATTTGTGAGACTGTGGGGGGGTGGGGCAAATTTCAACAAAAGCCAATCTCCACATTTCCACTAATTTTGTATGAACTGCTTATCGCTTGAAGGCCTCGCAGCCGGACACATTTGTTGCTGTGGATACTGCGTTAGTTCAAAAGTTCAGCCGTTTTCAGTCGTCTTGGTCACGAAATGGGTAAGAAAGATCATTAACCACCCTTAGATGTTAACATCAGGCACAGAGGAAAGGTGCAAAGAAAAAAAAAACATGTTCTCAAAGGACTGATTACAGCTGTGACCTTTTATCTGATGGCTCACTAATTGAATCATGCAGTAAATAGATGATGATGGTGGTGGTGGTGGCGATGACGATGATAATGAAGAAAATGGCTTTTTTTTTCTTTTTCTTACCGGAGGAGTGTAGAGGTGGTAATAGTAGTAATTGTGGTTTAAATGGAGGGTGCTGTAGGAAAAGTCAAAGACACGAGGATGACATGAATAATACAAGAAGTAGCAAGATAAAACCAGAAGCCCTGAGCTTGCACTAAAATAGAACTAACCTCGCAATTATTACTGACAGAGAGTGAAAATGATCATTATGGGGACCATATACAGGCCGTTAGTAATTTAGAATGAGCTACGGAGCTCAAAGGTAATAGCACTGGAGGGGAGCAGAGCATGAATTTTTAAAAAGTTTTTCTACTGTAAAAAGAGACAATATACCTCAAACAGCCATCAGACACATGAGGAGAAATAAAAAGCGAGCGGCTCGAGCTGCTGCTATTTGATGCCACACGGAGCAGAGAGTGAAATGATTGACATAATCAGAATCATAATAATTGCCACGGAAATAACACTGCCAATCAGGCAATCATGTTGGTGTGCAGGCTATGGTAATTGGAAAACATGGTGACTGACAGTATCAGTGTGAGCCGTCCCCACCAACACCTGCTAAATTGCAATTGGCACAACACAGACATAGTATGAGTTGAGTCACGCAAGAGAGACTAGCCTCGTCATAATCCCACGGAAGGAAAGCACCCGTTTGTTTCTTGGGACGGAGACAAATGTGGGGCAGATTGGACTGTACTGTCTATGGAGCAGAATGTCATGAGTCAGTACAGACACATGCTGATTTCCTTCCTTTCTAAATCAACCTCCTCTTCCCTGCTATTCTAAATTGTCCGACTGGCATTGGTGCAGATTGCGTGGGTGCTCGGGCACACAACTGTGAGCACCCACTGTGGTATGACCGTAAAGTAGAAGAACAGGACACAGCAGAGAACAGGCAAAGCAGAGTGTTAACTGTGTCCATTCCTGTGTCCATTCCTGTATTATTCTGTCTTTTACCACCTTGTGGTTTCACACAGCTGTATAAAACATGCTGCTGTCTGACCAAACTGGCTGTAACAAGCGAGCGGCGAGGCCGTTGCGACCGGTGTAACACACGAGTCCATTAACAAGTTGTCCTCTGGTACTAAAACATCCACCAAGCCACTGAGCAACCCCGCCTCGCTCTACCATGTTGAGTTTTCTGCAGTACACCCAATCTCTCTTTGTCCCTGTCATCCAGGAAGGTTAAGTTATGTGCAACATCTACGGGAAATAATGAATTTGGCACCTGCACCTACTTACGTCACAGTCGTGTATGTTTGTAGCATATGAAATGCTTCACACAACTTAACTGATTGCTGTTTTGGATTTTGGACAGTGAATTTCAGAGGCGGCGCGATTGCATATAGAGTCAATGCAAAGACACAAGTTTGTCCAGGGTGATGCAAATTGAGGTAAAGACATACAATTTAAAGCTACTACAAGGAGTTTTTAACTGGTTATGACAGTCTCAGTTTAATACTGGTGGCTCTATATGACCTACATAAACAAACAGGACCATTAGCCAGAAGACTGGTTATTTCCATATAGCCTGCCACCAGGTCGGATTCAGTTGGATTCCCCCCTTGATATCAATCAAACGAGGCGGTGGAAACACTACCG